TAATTTAACAATTTAAAAATAGTTTATAAATTCTAAATTAGTTTACTTAACTTTATAAATTAATTAAGAGCTCTAATCTATTTGATTTCACTTTTATTTCATCCATCTCTTTCCTGTTCGACTCCCTATCTATCTCTATCCCTGTCTGCCTTGTTATCTTTCGGAAGACCGCGCCCTTTGTAGATCATTGGGTCACTATGCGTCCCTCAGCGTCACTTTACCGCTTGCAACTGGAACACAAGCAAAGGCGGCAAAAAAAAAAAAAAAAGTAGCAAAAAAAAGTAATAATAAAAGAATACTGACCACAAGAGGGCCCCCGAAGGCTGTCTTCTCAACGATTCTGCGAAGAAAGGAGGCGCAGAAATGAATTTGCAGCCTCGTGGGGTAATCAAGTGAGGCAACTGGTAACGATGCCACTTGTGCTTGTGCGCTCACTCAGACAGCGTGGAGCTTCTTCCATTGTGAACGGTGTCTCGGTGTGTTGTTCTGGGTTGGCGCAGCTCCTGGTACCCTATATAAGGGAATATGAATGTATGAGAGAGGTTTTGGGGTATACCTAAATATATTTAAATATTTATTTTTATATTTTAAATAGAAAAGAACATTTTTCTAGGCTTTTAAAGGTTTAAAATCTATCTGATTCCAAGTTCTAAAATTTTCAAAAATTGTTTAAGTAATATTTTTACAGAGCATTTGGGTTACTTCCCTATTCAGCAGCTTCAGGCGACTTCTGCTTCGTCTTCTGCCGTAAGCCTCACGTTGGAGTATTCTTACTTGTTATCAATTGTTGTTGTTGCAGTTCTACACCCTCCTCCCCAACACCCCTTCTCTTCCTTGACTTCCCTGGTTGTTGTTGTTATTGCATTTAAGTGCAGCTTGTTAATGCTCATTAAATGTTAAGGGAGCTGTGAGCTGTGGAGCTGTTGGCTCTGAGCCGCAGCTCTCCAGCTCAGCTCCATGGCACTTGTCAGAGCCTGAGCCCTGCCACAAATTGTGGCAGAGTCGGATCCCCGGAGCTGTGGGCTTTAGTTTCATAAAATGAAGCGAGCCAGAAAGTCGCGGCGGGCGCGTTGAAAGGAAAACAATTTTGCCTTTCGGCATTGAAAAATCGGAAAACAACCGAAAAACGATCAATGTCAAAGTGAATAAAAGTTGAAGCTATAAAATCAATAAGAAAACAACAAACCAAAAAAAGGAAAATAAGCAATTGAATATTCAAAGCAAGTGTGCTATCTTTTAATGCACAGAGAAAAATAGGTTCAGTAGAAAAATGAAAATAAATCTTTACGATAATAACGTATTTTTGTTATATTTTCTAAAAGGCTTCAAGGACTTTAAGAGCTTAAGGAGAGCCTTAGTTCACTATAGAGTCTACTTTTAGGCACTTGGCAAAGTGATTTGAAATTCTCGCTTCCAAATCCTTTTTCCTTTAGAACTTATACTTTAGCTTGTACTTTATTCTCTGTGCATCACTTCATCATCGTGATCAGTTCATCATTATTGTGATCATCAACATTGTTGTCGTCGCGTGAAAAACCTGTTCGCTTGGGAAAAGGCTTCGTGTTGTTGTTGTTGCTACATCTTGTGGCTGTGTGAAGCTAATTGAAAAGAAGTATTAACAACGCTGCCTTTTGTTTTTATACCTTTTGATGATTGACTGACCGACCGACCAACACGAAGGAGTCGCACGAGTAACAGGGGCAGTCCAGTCTGCCGGCATTCTGGCATGGCATAATTGTGGGATCAACCGGCAGCAGCAGCAGCAGCAGTGGCAAGCCGAGCCGGGCAACTGCCCAGCTAATTAGTAATGCAAAGCCAATGCCTACTCAGTCACTCAGGCAGGCAGTCATTCAGTCATTCAGCCATTCAGCCATTCAGTCACTCAGTCAGTCATTCAGGCAATTGCTTAGAAATTCGATTTGTATTTCCACTGATCGACAGGATAAGAATTCATCCGTCTCGGAGGAGAGCGTGTGAATCCCCCGACCAGAGATGAAGATACGCGGGAATCGTATCTAATGTGACAGCTGAGGGTAGCCAGATAAGTATCTACAAGATAATAAGAGGCGGTAGGATGTCCAAACGGATTTATATATTACGAAGGGGAATTGAATTGACAGAAGGTGAGGCAGGTAATCTTCAACGATGTGATTTAATAAACTGGATTTTCTTAAAAATAAAAGATTATATTTATAGAAATATCTTAGATAATTGTTAGAAGTATGTAATAAATATTACAAAAATGTGAAAATAATTCAAACAATTTTATATATCTCGGTTTTAACTTTTATTTAATTATTAAATAAATCAATACGCATATGTATCAATATTCTTCCATGTATCTTCTTAAAATCCTAGAAAGTCTCTCTATTGATTTTATATCTCTCACAACATATCCTTACCCATTTCTTTATAAGCAACCGATTGCTCCATAAACAACATCCATATTGTTGTGAATGAGATACGTCTATTTCCATCTTTATGCATCTTGTATCTATATATCCTACACCGATCCAGACGAGCGTGTACACATGCGCATTGTTTGGCTTTAAAACAACACGACCACAACTCTAATTCGCATTAATTTAAAACTCAATCAAGGCAATTAGCGCGCACACTGGAGCGACACTCACGATCACTTTGGCTCCCAGCCCCTTCTGGTGTTCCTGTGTCCCCTCCTTGATCCACGTCCCTGCCCACACACTGCACACGCATGCGAAGGATTGATGGGTTAATAGAGGAGGAGTGTCCGGGCTATGGGATATCCTGGGAGATGGTGGTAACTTATAATTGTTTGCTTAAAGTTTGGATTTTTAAATATTATTTTTATTTAAAGGGTAATTAAATTATTAAATTTTTTTTTCTTTTGATTATAAAAATCAAATCAAAATTCTGTTTGTAAAAAAACCTTGTATACTTTCTGGGGGAGGCCACAAAAATAGTCCTTAAAACTATTCCAATGGAAAATAAAATTAGGTTGGTTTAGAAAATTTTCAAAAAGGCTTTTAAAAAAATTAGGAACATTTGATCGGGACCCTGATATAGCAAATATATTTCAAATAAATTAAATAATTTTATAGATATTTTTTTAATCATGGTTCCTAAGATATAGTTGATTTGACCAAACTAATTTCCCGATTGATGTGAATTTTGGTATGTAAGGAGGTAAACAAATTTGTAATATATTATTAACTGCAAAATATAATTAACTTTAAAACTTTAACTAAACAAGCAAAGTATAAAGCGTGAGAAAAATTTAAAAAAATCAATCAATCCGCTTTAGAAAAACTCCCAACTCCTTGTTACATACACTGCCAGCATACCCCTGAGCTGCTTGAGTGGCCGAGGTACTTACATAAATCTCAGCCAGTGGCAACATTGTAACATAGTCGACTCTGTCGGATCAGACGGAGCGACATCCGGACAGCCGGTCGCACAGCTGATTTCGGTTCTCGAGACTCGCTCGACACCGCCGCCGCCTGGGCGAACCAGTTATATCGTCGCACTATACTCTATATATGCTATGTTATATGGAGTGCAACCTACCTCACGCTGACAAGCTGACACAAACACACGCGAACAGCGAACACACCTCCCTCTATCTCTCTCTCTATCCCAAACCACACATATGTACGTACACTCGGAAAAATTATTATTATTTTCAGTTTTGTTTTTGAAATACATCGACAAAAATATTATTATTGCTTATTTACAATTATTTATATAACAAATATATTATTATTGTTTATTAACAAAAGCTTAAGCCACAAAATAAAACAAGAGTTTCCCTAAAAGTAACTCCATTTTTCCTAATTCATGAAATATTACCCTAATGTAAGAATAATGAACTTAAATATTTTTATGAAAAAAAAGAAAAGTTTTTCCCATATTTAGGAATTTAAAATAAGATTCAACAAGATTCCTGAAACATCCTTTCTAAACTGAATTTATAAATGTACTTACATTACGCGACTTTTTAAGGTCGTTTTTAGGTAGCAATTTTTCTGAGTGCACGTACTACGTACAGCTGCCGTGTGTGGTTGTTGTGTTGCATAAATTTGCCAGAAGTAAACATTTCAATAAGCCTTGAGGCATTGTTTCTTGGCAAACTTTCATTGAGATTCTATATGCGAAAAGAAGAAGAGGCGGGCGAAGATTACGCGCACACATGGGTTCTTATCAGCGGCATGGGGAATACGAGGAAGAGGAAGCAACGGGAGAGCAAGTGTACACAGAGAGCGAGAGTGATCGATACAGTGGAGATTCAATAAATGAAATTTAGAGGAGTTTTTGCAGATTAATAAATTCATAATTAATATTAATTTGATATCTAATTAATATTTAATAAAAACCTCGCGTAGTTTATTTTTATGAATTAATTTAATATTAAAATTATATCCTAATGCCTTTTAAATTACTCTTAATTGTTATATAAAATTAAGAAAATTCCAATGTTTATTTATATGAATTTATTTGATATTATTGATATAATATCTCAACTATTATCAAAATTAAAACATCCTAAAGTTAGGAACTGATATTTACTTTAAGGACATTTTCAAACAATATTTAAAAGGAAAATAATTTTCTTGATATTGTATAGTCTCCTTAATTTTAATTTCCATAAAATCATAAATAGCCACATATCTGTGTACTCATTACCGAAGTTCTACTGTAAATCTCTCACACAGAGAAGAACGTCAGGGGAACCCGGCAAGCGGGAGCAGCAGGCATTAAGAACCTTACTCACTGCAAACGGATTCGAACAGCTGGTCCGAAGATCGGTTCGAGATCGGCCACAGATCGATCTATTGATTCGATGGATGGATCGATCAGCGGAGGCACTTGTTGCGTGGTTGGTGGCTCGGTTCGGGTCCGGGAAATGCGATGGTGTGCGAGTGCCGAGTGCTCGAGCTATATTGGTGTGTGTGCCTGCGTTGGGCTCGGCTCGGCTCAGCTCAGAATTTCCCCCCATTCATAGTCAGTCTTTGACTTGACGTTGCTGTCGTCGCAACAAGTGACGCAAAACAGGGATCGCGGAGGAGCTAGGCGAAGATCGGAGATCGCGCTGGGACTGGGATATTGATCGGGATTAGATTCCGGGAGTCGATTTTTTGGGACTCTGTCCGTACGGAAAGGTGTCACGTTTTATGTTGATTAATATTAAATATTAATTCCATTAACAATTATGATTGATCGTCAACGAAAACAACAGAGTCCAAAAGTGCAATGTCTGTCTGTGATTAGAAGTTTCTATTGTGTTTTCCTCACCGCACCAGAAACTGCGATTAAAGGTTGCTTGGAATGCCAACGACAAAAGCTTTAAATAACAACAATCCATAAATGTGTAATATAACAACTGAAAGTGATGTTGAAATATTTTTAAAATATTTGCAATGTTCTAAATCTAAAAAGTTCAAAGTGATAAGCCAAGCATAAGAGATTCAGTGTAATTAGAAATGTCAACGATTCGGATCTAGCCGGTAAAAGGATATAACTTATTGGATTTAAAACGAGAAAACCCTAAAGTGGTAAGTGGAGTTAGTTATGTGAAATGTTTAGATGCTAATTAATTAAAGAATGAGGTTTTAGAATAAATCTTAAAGTCATGGCTTTGATTTAAGCTACTTTAGTGGTGTGATTCCCAGAAATTAACAACTAATCTAGATTTTTTTTACTGATTTCTTCTAAATCCGCTGACTTGTGACAGTCACCGAATATCAAGTAAATTTTTAAAATATTTACACAACCGCAGTAGTTAATCTTAAAATGCAATATGATTAAAATAACACCGAATCGAACTTCAACAAAATATATATCATATGTATAAAAATATACACAGGTGTGTGTTCGTGTGTATATATCTTGGAAAAATAAATCGTGTTATACTTCGGCAAACAAACGCATTAAATTGCAATTATCCGCCTCTCAGCTCCAGTTCTCTCTCTCTCCTCCCTGCTCCCTCCAACTCTTCTCACGGCTGTCTCGGGGCTCCATTTATTTATTTATTAATTTTTTCTCCATTATTATTTCATATTTATCAGCGAGCACGAGCGTTTTCAAGTGTAACGCAATGAGAAGAAATAATAATAATAATTTTTTGATGATTTTCTTTTGTTATCAATTATGTGAGAGAGCTTCAAGTTCATTATCATCGTTAAAAAATACAAAAAAAATCAACATCAACAGCTGGAGCCTCTCGTTTTTTTGTTGTTATTTCATCTGGTTAGGGGAAAAAACGGATTGTAAAATCATAAAATATCTCCTCTTCCCAAAGTGAATGTCAGTCGATTACGTTTTTATTTGAATTTTTGTATTTTTTGTTTTGTTTGTTACAAATTGCGAATGCAACGTGCATTGACCGAGGGATTATAATTATTTTGGGGTCGATGTCGATGATGATACATTTGCCTCTGGGTTGGGTTTTTGGGGAAACAGTGGCTGCAGGTTTTGGGGTTAATATTTAAAAGTTAATAAAGGAATTTATAGGTTTTTAATGAGATATTATTGTAAAGAAGATGGAAAATGTTTATGTTTATTAATAATAAATTCTGTTACCTCTTTACCGTAACATTTATTGATTATTAATTCCAAAAATCAGTACAATTTATTCACTTTTCATTGGCCTGGTTCTACTGTGTTCAAGTCGCACGCCTTCTCACCTTGTCCGAGTGTTATATAAATATCCCTCCTGTTTTTTTTAACCGAAACTCCACGCGAATTCCGCGACATTGTTCTGCGATCATTTTTCACCTTCCTTTTTCGATTGGATTTCGATCGGAACGCATTTCGCTGACACATCAAGAACCCACCTTGGGTGTTGGGCCAAAAACTAAATTTCAAAAATATATTCAACCTTTTGGCGACAGGCTGTCCAAAAAGGCACCTGCAAATAAGGGCTAGAAGAAGATATTCCAGTTAACAATATAATTAAACGTAAGTGCGACGTTGCCAAAAAAAAAAGTAAAGAAAAAACCACGCGACGACAGGCCAAAAAATGTGACACAAAAACGGAAAACTGAAATAATTTCTACCAACTTTTTTGCAAAATAAACAAGTTTATGTTTTCATCAGAATTTACATACATCTATATATAAATGTACATATATATGCCGAGTGATTCTTAATTCGGCATTTATCCGTGGCTATTTTTATTGGCACATTTTTCACATTTATGCAAATCGAATCGAATCGAGAACCCATATCGTTTGGGCCACTGCTGCGCAGTTACAGAAGACCCAAGCTCAGCTCAAACGCTTTGCCGATCCGCGATTCGCAATCCGGAGACCCGACATCAGCAGATTATGTCACTATATATATATACACGTTCATATATAGAGTGCACGAACGCCGCACGGCGAGATATCGGCCGCGATATGCTGGCTTATGGCTCATGGTCACGGCCACCGTCGACAAACGGGAAACTTGGCTTAACAATTTCTTTCCTCGGTCAGCTGTTCCCGCCAACGTCTCCTGCTCTTGCCAAAAAAAAAATACAAGTACAACAAATAGTTGGATAAAAAGAGTTAACAGAGAGTGGCATACAGAGGAAGAAAAAAGCTTTAAAATTTAGAGAGAAATATTAGCTATTTTAATCTTAGATTTTTCAGGAAGAAATAAGACTTTACTTGCGATTTTTAAAATTTTTATTTATTAACCAAAACTTCATTCTTGAAATTTTGTATGTTTTAAATAATTTACAAATTGTTTTATTCATATTTAAATTAATTTAATGCTCTAAAATAAAGTCTAAAAAATTATTTTAAAAGGGTTTCTATTTCCCAATGGCTGCTTAGCTTATCCATTATTGATTTAAACATAATTTTAAATTAACTAAAATATTTCGGAGTCTCTTATTCATTTAATCTGAATTTATATACAATATTCTCCGTGTATCTACCATTATCTAGACTTTGGCTTTAGCCAGGTTCAATGTACGGACAACGATGTGCCAACGTCGAACGACAAAGTAAGCCTCGCAAATAGAAATAGAGAAATTTTCTCATTAGATTTTTGCCATTTTGCCGCACTTCTATATTTCTTTTTCTCTTTTGCAAAAAAAAAAGCCTTGTCCAAACCAACAACCAAACTTGCTTTCCATCCTAGAACCCGCCGAAGAACCAAGTTTGGCTCAAAAGCTGGCCTCGTACATTAGAAAGGCATTAGAAGTTGGCTTGGCTAAAGAAAAGTGAAAGAACTAGAGAGAGAGAATTATATAAAAGTCTGAAAACTAAAGATTATATCTAGATTTACTCTGTGAAATGAAAACTTTTACAAATAATTAAAAGTATCTAGGAAAGAATGCTTGCTGAGAACCTAAGGAAACCATTTCTTCAATCTCTAAATGTAACAATTTCAATTCAAACTCTTAAAGAAAAACCTTTTCCTTAAAAAACCCTCTTTCCAAGCGCTTTTTTTTTTTGGCCATAGACAACATATATTTAAAGTCTTTCACATAACCAAAATCCAAGACCGATTCGATAACGCCCAAAACATTCTCGTAGCCATAAACTTCGTTTTCTTTTATGTCATTTTTGTGTTTTTGTTGTGGTAAACAAAAAGCCAAGTTAATGACTGCAGAACCATCGGAATAATCAATAAGAAAGCAAGACAACAAAATCAAAAAAATCGAAATTTTTATTTGCGTCTTAACCCAATTAGGGGAACCTGGAGAAATGACGGCCAGATATTGTGAAATTCCAAGATCAAAACAGAGCCAAGAGAAAGACAACAAAAAAAGACGAGAAAGAACTTTCCCATCGATTCTCGCTTTACATAATAATCGGTTACATAATATGCTTTCTACCCACCGCTGGGTGCTTTCTTCTCCTTCTTCTTTTGGCCTGGAGCTGGTAGCTGGTTTCCAAGCCGGTTTTGGCCAGATGCTTCCTCCTACCTCGCTTCTTCTAACGCAACTCTAACGATGAGAATGGAGTGGAGCTGAGCTGGCGGTGGATCCATCTGCATATTAATCAGAGAGTTAGCCGGAGCGAAGAGAAGGGAATTCGCAAGAATTCTTATTAAAAAGCGAGTTTGCGGCTTTGTTGTTCTAACCACGTTGGAAAAGTGAGAAGCGCAAAGAACGGCGCACGCGTCGCGCTGAGAAGCGATCTCATGATGAGATGAGGAAGTGATTAGGCCCCCAAGAAGGAAGTGCTCGACGCAGATGTCTATGATTTGTATTTCCAGTTTATTTTCTTCTGTGTTCTCTATATCTTTTTTTTTTGCACAGAGGCCTATCATCGAATTTGCATTAATAGCCATGGATTTGCCACACCTTTTCCCGCCCAAAAAAAAAAAAAAGAAGTCCATGTGACGGCTTCACGTAGATAAAGACATCAGTTACCTGGCTTCTTATCTGGTTCTTTTGCAAATACCAACTGCTCCTACCAGTTTTTCGGTAGCCCAAAGTCACCATGAGGTTTTCTTTTCGTATTCCGTATATATATTTATATTTATTTGCCCATCGATCGTGTGTCTGTGTGGCCCGGGCAAATATTAGAATCGATCATCTATCTGTTTTCTCATTTAGTTTTTTTTTTCTTATTCATTAATCACTGCGAGCAGGTAACCCCCTCGAGCTATAAATTGGTTACCAGCATATTTATTTAGTTTCGTTTTATATCCGGTTGGCAATAGGAAAATAGAGGAGAAAAAGGGTAGAGTCTAATAGGAAAGGGGAGAACCTTTTCCTTTTTCATATCTGTACCTTATAGAAACCCAATAAGAAAAGTATTCTTGTTGCGTTTTCTTTACCTTGAATTTCTGGAAAAGAAATGAAAAGAAAAGGGATTTATTGTGATTTATTTTTGGGTATAAAATAGTTAAGGTTAAGGTAGGCCTACAACTGATGACTTTTTGATAAGATAAATACTAGTTTCTTGTTAAGTATACTTTGATTTGGTTTTACTTAAATATTTAAATTAAAATTCCATTTTTATTATTATTATTCCCATATTTTCATTAATTTTCTGTTCATTTGTATTTTTATACCTTGAAGACTTTGTGGAATTTCGGTCTTGTTATTATTATTCCAGACATCTAAGGCTCTATAAACTTTATATTATATAGACTTTAGCAATCTGACGAAATTCGCAACGCAATCATTACACAAATTTTTGGGTTATTAACCTTGAACTTTATCACACCTGCTGGCTGGGCTTTTTATCTTATCTTGGTGTGGAAACCACGCATAAAGCTTGTTTCTTTTTTTCTCTGTCTTGCAAAAGAACCCGAAAACCGAGAACGAAGTGTTATCGCTTGCCTGTGTTGGCAATTATAATGCAAAATCGATGATCAACCAACGGGTGGGTTGGCCAAAAAATAAAAATACAAATTAGTCGACCGGTTGTCTGGCAACGGGCCGAAACGTATTGAATTTTAAGGCCAGACTTCAATTAAAGGCCTAGAATCAATTAGCATAGCATAAGTCTGGGTCAAGTGGATTAAACAAGTGAGACCCCCCGGCTTCCATTTCCATTGCAGCGTCCCCATGGTAATGGCCGTGATACTGTTGCTGGCCCTGGCACTGGTACTCGGCTGCTACTGTGTTCTCCACCGTCAGAAGCTGGCCGAGATCTATCTGCGTCCGCTGCTGAAGGACACGCCTCTGGAGGACTGCTACCATGCAGCGCCAATAGAGTCGCCAGAGTCAACCAAAAGAAGGCGACGCCGTGGCATCTGGGATATTCCGGGACCCCAGAGGATACCCTTCCTGGGCACCAAATGGATATTTCTTGTATTCTTCAGGCGCTACAAGATGACCAAGCTGCATGAGGTCTATGCGGGTAAGGTGCCAGGAATTTTAAAGGATTGCAAGCATTAAATCTATATAAAAATAATATCATTACATAAAAATTAAAAATTCTAAAAAATAAATAAATATCTATTCTCTACTCCAGATCTCAATAGGCAATACGGCGACATAGTCCTTGAGGTAATGCCCTCGAATGTGCCCATTGTCCATTTGTACAATCGCGAGGACTTGGAGAAGGTGCTGAAGTATCCCAGCAAATACCCCTTCCGACCGCCCACCGAGATCATTGTGATGTACCGTCAATCCCGACCGGATCGCTATGCCAGTGTGGGCATCGTCAACGAGCAGGGACCGATGTGGCAGCGCCTACGATCCTCGCTAACCTCCAGCATCACTTCGCCAAGGATTCTGCAGAACTTTCTGCCCGCTCTAAACGCAGTCTGTGATGACTTCATAGAGCTGCTCAGATCCCGACGAGATCCGGAATCCTTGGTAGTGCCCAATTTCGAGGAGCTGGCCAATCTGATGGGTCTCGAGGCTGTCTGCACTTTGATGTTGGGCCGAAGGATGGGCTTCTTGGCGGTGGACACCAAGCAGCCGCAGAAAATCAGCCAACTGGCGGCGGCCGTCAAGCAGTTGTTCATCTCCCAAAGGGATTCCTACTACGGACTGGGCCTGTGGAAGTACTTTCCCACCAAAACCTACCGAGAGTTTGCCCGGGCCGAGGACTTGATCTATGAGTAGGTACACACACCTATCTTGGGCTTTTATAAGATTTTCCCTGAAACTAATCCTTCAATCAAATAACTCCAGTGTGATCTCCGAGATCATCGATCATGAGCTAGAGGAGCACAAGAAGTCGGCGGCCTGCGAGGATGAGGAGTCAGCCGGCCTGCGCAGTGTCTTTCTTAATATCCTAGAGCTCAAGGATCTGGATATAAGGGACAAGAAGTCGGCCATTATAGACTTTATAGCTGCGGGCATTGAAACGGTTAGATCATATTATATACTTTGGGAATTTTCTATAATTAATTGGTTAAATTTTCAGTTAGCCAACACCTTGCTGTTTGTGCTAAGCTCTGTCACTGGCGATTCTGAGGCCATGCCTCGCATTCTCAGTGAATTCTGCGAGTATAGGGATACAAATATCCTGCAGGATGCTCTCACAAATGCCACATACACCAAGGCCTGTATACAGGAATCTTACAGACTGAGGCCCACGGCCTTCTGCCTGGCCAGGATCTTGGAGGAGGATATGGAGCTGTCCGGTTACTCGCTAAATGCAGGGGTGAGTTAGAGTATTTAATGTAGGTTTAGAACCTTAAACTCTTCAATTAATGTATCCTTAAGTTAAAAATTATAATATAAATATTTTCTTTATAAACTTTTTCTTTTTAACCTCCCCAGACCGTAGTGCTCTGCCAAAATATGATTGCCTGTCACAAGGACAGCAACTTCCAGGAGGCCAAGCGTTTCTGCCCGGAGCGTTGGATCGATTCGGCCACGGAGAACTTTACGGTCAATGTGGACAGTGCCAGTATTGTGGTGCCCTTCGGAGTGGGTAGGCGGACGTGTCCGGGCAAGAGATTTGTGGAGATGGAGGTGGTCCTGCTGCTGGCCAAGGTGAGTTGTAACTTCAATCACCAAAGATCCCTAAGCTAGACTCACGAGCTTTCCTTTCAGATGGTCCTGGCCTTCGAGGTGAGCTTCGTGAAGCCCCTGGAAACGGAGTTCGAGTTCCTGCTGGCCCCAAAGACCCCGCTCAGCTTGAGGCTTAGCGATCGCGTCTTCTGATGGTCGCGGAGCTGAGGCTCAACTGTCCCAAAACATTGCCTAACCTTGGGCGTTAAAAATAGCTAGGAACTGAACCACTAAGTGAAGTATAGTGTAAAATATGAATAGAAAACTGCGCACATATCCCGTATATATCCTTGATGAGCCCAGCATCAGCAGCAGCCTAGTCCTGTGAAGCAATCTAAAGCAATTAATTAAACGCAATCAATATACATTTACATATTTATGCTGACTGGATGTAAGTAGTTCTGTATATGAATGTCATGTTTGTTTTTAATAATTACGTAAAGTTCTTTTAGTTATTGTTAGTAGCTAGAGCATAAGTAGCAGCAATTGTTTTTGAAAGACTGTGTTTAAGTTTTGTGTTTTGATATTAACCGAGTTCTTTACATGCCTCTATTTCCTGTATATAGTCTTGCAAATTTGAACATTCTATGCAGTGTGTATGTACAGCCTAATTTTAATTGTATTTATTCAAGTGTTTATACTATAGCAAAGTTTTTATTTCGTCTCTGTATCTGTGAATATTTTTTGTTAAAAAGAGAGAACTAATATTCAAATGAATTGAAATTATAAGAAATCAAAAAGTTAAAAACGAAACTATGAAGTGTCTATTTTTCTGGGATTAACTTTATGTATGTATATATATTTATTTTAAAGGGTCTACAGTTCAGTCCTCTATAACAGGTTTGAGAATAAGATATTTATGTAATTTCCTGGGATTTATTTTGCTGACAAAACTGCTGACATTTGCTTGAAATATCCCTTTGTTTTTACAGTGCCTTCCTCGTATATTAGTAACTTTAGTGAGGTGGTTCATGACTTTACTAAAAAACCCCTTGTGCTGAATGGCTTTTAAGTTTTTAATTTATTAGTAAAATAATCATAGATCAAGATTCATAGTCATTAAAGTTTTAAGTAAATTTATATTTTATTTTTTAAATATAGTTACTTCGATTTAATTATTTAAATAAATCCCATCTTTATTTGGTTGAAGTCTCCAATACTTAGGGGAATTTTTATATGTTTTATATACAGTCGTGTCCCATAAAGCCTTTCTTATTCCTTTATTTAATCGGTTAAAATTAAAAAAAAAAAAATTATATATAAAAAACAATGAGGAAGTGGAAGCAGAAAAAAAAATTCACACTTTTTATTATTACATGTTCTCCTTCATTTTTTGTTTTCCTAAATTTGGTTCAGGTCCCTTCTATCAATACAGGGAATTTACATATAAAGAACAGTCGCTTCCCAATAAATCCTAAATGTTTAACTTGATCAAGAAATATTTAATTTTATTTTAGTTAGAATTAAAACAAAACCCACAGTTGAATTGTTTTATTTGCGTGACATGCAGGTGTTAATTTGTATATCCCCATAATATTATTCAATATTTGCTTAGTGTTTGAAAAGAGAGTAGATACACACAAAAAATATATGAAAATACCCATTTTTTAAATTTAATTTTTTATTTATCATTTTCTGGTTAAAAGTAAAACATATCTTGGGTTTTGTAAGCCTCAAGTAAATAATTTCTGTAACAAAATTAAATTGAAAAAGTCAAAACTTCACTATAGATTTTACTTATTTTATTCCGAATTTCTTTTACTGTGTAATTTTTCTCTCTTCGCTTAAATAATATGCTCTTTCATGAGCTCATTTCGCTCTTATTTCTTGGGCTGTGGCTGTGGCTTGTTTGGCGGGCTTTGAGATACAACAGTTGTCGTTGGCGTGTCGTCGGTTTCAGAGCGTTTCGAAAATCCCAATTTCCAAGTCGCAGTTGGAAAAACAGAGCTGAAAATTTAGAAAAAACTATTTAGCGCGCGCGGAAATTACTTGAAAATACTGTTTGTGCAATTTTAGTGACGGAATAAATAACTCAAAAGCTAACACCCAAAACCTTTAGCTGCACTTGTGTTCGCACCTTTCGCAAACTAAACGAAAATATTCTGAATTTCTGAAAAATGTAATTAAACAGTAACCCATATTTAAAAACGAAAAAAAGATAAAAACTAAAACCAGTTTGTCATTTGCTCAGCAATAACTAATTTTGTAGTAGAGTTGGAAATGCACCGAAGCTCCGCCAAAGGGAATTAATCATCTTCAGAGTCGATCTGGAGATCTGCGGAGTCTGTGAGGTCGCAGGGCCCCACCCAGAGCTAATTGTACAATAAACAGGGGACAACAAAAAACTATATACATACAGCAGCAAGACGATCGCAGCACTTTTGTTGTCGTTGTTCTTTTTGTTAGACATGCTAATTTTGCACAAATTACACAGACACTGGCTAACACACAAATTAGTTTGTTTAATGTGACTCACTGACAATTTTCTCACCGTCAACACGGCCCCTCCCCTCAGATGCGACAGCTTTAATTAGTTGACAAATACTTGGGGTTAATGCAACATATATATAGAGATATATATTTAATGATTGCATTTGAAATATATCTTGAACTTAAAAATTATATTAGGAAAACCAAATATCTTACTTATTTTTCAATGGAAATATAAGCAATACTCTTAAGTTTTGCCAAAAAAAGTTCCTATCTGTTTAATATGTTAGTATTATTAGTTTTTAAATTAATAATTATTATTATAACTAGAAGCCATAGAAATACAGACTAATTTTTTTAAACCAACGCATCGTAAGCTTATCTCTGGCTAAAATACCTTCTGATCTCAAGTTTATCAAGCTAAGAAACTATTTTTTTATGAATAGCATATTCCTTGATATGCTATAATTCACAAACAAATATTAGTTTGCTTAACACTCAATTACAGGACCTGTCCCCCTTGGGAACTGAACCCTTTTCTATCCTATACCAATCCGCTTTATGGACACTGACCTTCAATGACACCCCCCTAAGCGAACCCCTCTGACACTAAGGTAACAACAAAAAGCGAAACAAAACAATAAGAGTGACAATAACCCCAGTGTGCCTGTTAGTGCCTTTAGTAAATCCCGACCAGCCTTGGCCAATTGCTTTGGCATTGAATTCGCCAGTAACAACCCCCGAGAGAAACTCCCTCGCACAGGCAACCACCCCCAGGTAGGGGACCCATCCCGCCCACATCGCAAATGTTGCATGTTCACAGCTAAAACAAAGCTCAAGTCGGTGGCTAAAAGCGGTGTGGGACTGAATGAGGTCAAAAGCAACAACAGTAGCCTGCGCCACTATTGGCAAGAATATATGGAAAAACCATTGCAAAAAAAAGTGCAGCGTGAGGTTGTTAATTAGACAATGACACTTTTAGATACCCTTTAAAAGGGAAGTTTTTAAGAATAATATATAAAGGATTTTATAGTCTTAATTTAATTCGAAAAATTCGAAAAACAATTAAGCTCAAACTAACAAAAGTTAAAAATTTTAGTGAAATTCATATAATATTCTTGATCAGCATCAACAGGCGAGTTGATCTGGCAAAGTCCAATATTTAAACATTGTATAATGTTGTCAGAAATTGATAAAAATTTTAATTCAATTTAAAATATTTAATATTTGGCTTAATTAGGATACATACATCGGCTTTTCTAAGCTAGCTTCCTTTCTTGTTTTAAGTCTTAACCTGGCTTAATAATTTCTTTAGTTGAACCAAACCCTTATTGCCCAATAGATACACCCCTCCATTCAAGGGGTATTTTCCTTGTTAAGGAAAATGCAGCTGGAAAATCGCAAGCTACGACTGCCCTTTCGATGGGTGAGAAAACTTGGGCGCTGGATGGATGACCAGAGTCAAGTACAGTAGGCGCCTTACATGTGTACGTGTGCTTCTCGCGGCTCTGCAACCAGTTTGCCGTTGTGCATATCAATCCGAGCGTGTGAGGGGGAGGCGAACGCAGAAGGCGGGCTGAAAACGAGTTTTGTTGCATTTTTCAATTGCCCAAGTTGGCGGCGATTGAGCGCTGTAAGAAATACAAAGATACATTCTCAGATCTCTCTAGTTGGCAGGAAATTGCAAATGAGGTTTAATTAAAATGAAAAGCTCCTCAAAGGGGCCCCCTTGGAGAAGCCAGGAACCAAAACAAAACCGAGAACCGAGCTGCTGGCCAAGTCATTGACCCAAAAGTCGGACGCAGACAGACCAGTTATAGGGCTGCTTTAGCTCGGAACAAAAGGAAAAACAAGAACAAGAGTTCCTTTCGAAACGAGGTTAATTCACAGTGAGAGCCAAAAAGTTAGGCCCACCTTTTCCTTTTCAGAGAAAATTCTCTCTGAGGGCGCGCAAACTCAATACAGGTGTGGCAGGTATTAAAGCCTCTCTTTATGACTCTCTCGATCTCTCTTGGATCCCCTCTCTTAGCCAAGTTCTCTTTGGTTTCCCAAAAAAAACCTGTTCTTCTTGGCCAATACAAATTTGTTTACATTTTTTTTCGTGCTTCGTGGCTTGTTGCGTGTGTTTTGTTTGGTTTGTGCTTTTTTTAGGCTTTCTTCTTCTAAGCGCCGCCAAAGAAAACTTGTTTTTTTGTTTTTCATTGTGGGTTTTTTGGTTCAGGGGGGTCGTGGTGGCTTGAGTGTGGGCCAAAACGTGAAACATTCGTTAGCAGCAACACGACACACACATATCAGTTAACACGCAAGCAGCTAAGAGCTGGAATTCCAATCTTGGAGAGCCGCAAACCCGAAAATTAGTGAGGAGTTTCAGTTTGAGTTTTTTATGGGGATGAAGTTATGGGTGGTTTTTTTTTAATATATATTTTTTAAGGGTATGTTCTTTTTGAGGTATTTTAAAGCTAAATTTTTCATAAATTTGTAAGCTTTCAAAATTTAAAGAGAATAAACTAAACCTCCTTTGAAAATGATTATAAATACACCCTAATCTTCAGTTCCATAAATACAAGAAACTAAAAGAAATGTTTTAGATTTTGTATCTTTATTTATTTATTTACTTAAAACCCCTCCTTTAAACAAATAATTACTTAGGTTTATATTTATTACTAGCACGAGCAGTAGTCTCCGTAATCAATTAGTGTTTACCTTTTGCCAACCAGAACCTAGACACTAAAATGTTTATTAACTTCAGAACCCTAAGTTTATTGACAGGGAGTGTCTGTCTTGTGCCCACTTTTCCCTTTCCTATCCCAATGTTTGGATATATCTTTCATTTTCCCATTTTACTACCGACTTTTTACGCAGTGAAAGTTATGCGTGACCCTTTTTTAGGGTTTGAGCTTGGCGGTTTCCAGTTTCGTTTCAGGTTTGACTTATTTTTTTCTGGTTTTCTGGTTGCATTTTAATTGTTGTTTATGGGGTTACACATCGCGGGGTTAACTAGTCCCCACCTCCGCACGTTTATTGTACGTGCCTCTGGCTAATTTCTGTTTTTTTTTTTATATTTTGTTCTTTATGCGTTGCAATTAGCTTCAATCAATGAGGGGGACCGACGGACGACCCAACCATGGAGTGATTCCATTGTTGGTTATGAAGTGCTTGAACAACCAGTTCTCCCCCTTATATACACAGAGAAAATAATTTGTTTTATTATTTTATTATAATTTAAAATATGGGTAAATAAAAAATACATAAAGTTTTAACAACGCCAAATTATATAAAATTTTCTAAATATTTAAAAAAAGTGTTTGTTAAACTATCGCTTCGATGGCATATGTAGATTTTATATTATTTATCATAAAGAACTCGAAAGTAAGTTCAAGATACACAAACTTTTTGTTATCTCAAGTTCAGATATAATCAAATTTATCTTTAAGTTATATATTGGAATGTAGAAGATTATAGATCAGAGGTCGGCTCACATACCTACAATAAATTAATAGCATTCATTAAGCATTCCAAAAACAATCCAAAGACGTATATTTAAGTACCAAAGTATCGTTATGCATCTTAAAATTGTATTGTCTTTGCACGTTCTGGGCTTTAATAAGCAGAACGCCTTCCGAAGTCTTTTCCATTTGACTAAAATTTAAAATCTAAAATATTAGTATGGAAAAAGTATAAATTCTCTGTGTACAAACTACACATATCCAGCTGGCAGAAAAGGTATTCAATAGAAACCAAAAGAGGTGACAATTGAGATACACTATTGTGTCCATTGTGGTTTGCCTTTAATTAATAACTGAATTGTTATTGGAATTATAGATTAAGTGTGGCAGGCCTGCAATCATAGGTGGTCTTAAATATTCATAAGCAAGTAGGTTGCTCGCGTTCCCAGCTCGAATTTGGTATGCATCTCAGAACCTCTATGGTACGATAGAGGATAGACCCCACCCAAAAATTCCCACACATCCGACCGATCGGATGAGATCATCGCCCATATATATGCCCTTAATCAGTTTGGGCTGCACTTCTCATGCCAGAAGTGGATACATTTTTCTCATGTGGGAGACCTTCGGACATCAATTGACACAAATCCACAACAGAACGTAGTTTTATTTTATTTTATTGCACGCTCCACCGAGCATCCAATAACACACATCCGATAACCCAGAGTCGGCGGCCAAATAAGGTCATTCATTAAGTCCGGACTCTAAAGTTCCACCAAAAATAAACGTTCCAAAACTGAAGATGCCGTTTCCTTTGTAGGTCGAGAGTGTTTCCAACAGAAGACAAAAATGAGTTACTTGCGTTCGATAGGTACATAAAAACACAACATATTCGCGAGCAAATGCCAAAGTGGCCCCAAAATTCAATTGAATTAATGTTGTTCTTTAATTAATTAATTAATTAATTGTTTAATAATTGTTTTGTGCAGAAATCTCAAGGGTGGAAATGTCGCCGGCAGATGATAACTCCTTTGCCACAACGAGTGGCAACAAGAAGGCCACCTACACGCTGATATGCATTAAAATTGTGGAATTGGTGGGTGTTTTTACTTGGATTAATTAATATAAAATTTATTTTATTTTATTTATATATTTTATAGTGCCTGCTAATATGCTGCCTGGGTTTGATCGACGAGCCGGCCACCAATTCCCACCTGCGAGTGTTCATCACTCCAAGGGTAATGGCTTTGTGCTATGTGACCTTTGGAGCCTTGGTCATCTACACTGCAATCTATCTGATAATGGCACTCTTTGGTGATTTGTGAGTTCCCGAAATTATTTATATAAATTTATTATTAACAAGTAATATTCTCCTTAAAGGACTCCCTGGCGCACGGCCACCCTGTGGTCCCTGGTCGGCTTCATTCTGTTTGTTGCCGTCACCGCTCTGCTCTTCCGGGACTGGAGCACCACCAAGGATCGCAACTACTGGCACCCGAACATGCATCGTCTGGACCTTGTGATGGCCTCTGCCTCCATTTCCTTGGTCACCTCGCTGGTCTTCTTGCTGGACATCCTCATCACCATTCGCTTTGGCGTTCATGGAGATCTGGAATGACATGGACGGACCTGGTCAAGAGGAGCATGGCGTGGACTGTAATATTTATAGCTCCAGCTTAGTTGTAAGGACACACATACCCCCCCAGTCTCCCAGCTAATTGTAATCCCACGAAACGAAAGAAAAAAGAAACAAGAAAAATCTGAATTGCCATCATCGAATCGAAAAATGTACAAAAAAGACGACGTCCGAGGAGGTTTAAAGTTTTCTACGCATCGCCTGCCCTGTTTTTTTGTTTTTCTTTTTATTATTTAGCTTATAAAGAAAGCATCACGAACGTTTTATCTAAACCAATTAATAAGTAAGAACCCAACACGAGTAAAATTTCAACTATTTAATGTGCAAAATGAAAAGCAAACAGAAATCGAATATATTTTCTTAATGTTTTATTGATAAATTACTTATTATTATATACAAAATTGAAACATTAACGATAAAAAAAAAATTCTTTAACTCTTTTAACAAGGCGAAAAAGCACTTTTCGTTGTGTGTCGAAAAGTCACTTGGATTCAATGAAATATTTCTCAATATCCTGATCGTTGTTGATCATATCCAGGCCATGGAAGGTCTCCTTGATGTAGCATTTACCAGCATCGCCGTCACCTGGATTAATAATACAGATTTAGAGGGTATTATTTAAAGGGGATTATAGTTTATAACCTACCCAAACTGCCATCGCAAATCCGTTGAGTTAGCAATTTCGCCAGGGCCTTGAAGAGCTCCTTGGTGGCTATCTTTCGTTTATAATAGGGATTCAGCCACTGAACTACGTTTTTGCTTACATCGTTCTTTAGCTGGTTCTTTTCTGGTTTTCTCTTTGAGTTGGAAGAGTCCTTGGAGTCTTTTCCTTCTGATGAAGAGTCTTTTGAGGGTTTCTTTTCTGAGGAAGAATCTTTTGAAGGTTTCTTTTCTGACGAAGAGTCTTTCGATGCTTTCCTTTCAGAAGAATGGTCTTTCAAAGTTTTTCCTTCTGATGAAGAATCTTTCGAAGCTTTCCTTTCCGTTGAAGAATCTTTTGAAGCTTTCCTTTCTCCGGAAGATGACTCCTTGGCAGTTGCTTCCCTTTCTCTTTTGTAGTCTGCTTCCTCCTTTCCCTCTTTTCTGTGGGAACCCAAGTCCTTTAAATGCTTTTCTGTTTCACTGGACTCTTTCCCCTTGTCTTTGCTTTCCCCTGATCTTGACTCCTTTTGGAAACTCCTGTCCCCGTCTTTACCCTCTATTTCCTTACCTTCTAACTTTTTAGGCTTAACTTCCTTTTTATCCAAACTTTCCTCCTTAAGTTTGTTATTTTCCAGCATTTCTCGGGCTGAAATGAAACCCAGGGTTTCAGTTTTGTTATTTGACTTTTCCCTCTTCTCGTCGTTTTTGAGTTTGTTTTTCTCCAACATTTCCCGGGCTGAAATAAAACCTATATTTTCAGGGGATTCCTTGCTTTTATCTTCCCTTAATTCTTGTTTGCTTTCCAATTTAGCCTTCTTTTCATCAAGAATTTGTCGAGCAGTTTTAAAACCAATTGCAGGCTGATCCTGCTCCTCTTCGGATTCACTTTTGAAGGAACCGAAGAGATGCTGCATGCTGGTCTTGGCCGTTTTCTTGGGTTCGTGCTGATGGGAAACTCTTTTCCGGCGATGCGTGTCATAGCTGCCATCGCCATTCGGCATCAGTTTGTATTTTCTCTCGCCGATTATGCTGTCGGGTAGGGGATCGAGTTCGGAATCAGGCTCAGTGCTCTCTTCGTCCATAGGTTCATCTTTGACGGGATTGGAAGAGGGCTCTTCTGGTTTGTTATTATCCAAATCCTTCTCAGCTTCTTCAGGTTCTTCTTGATTTGAGGAATCTGATGTTGGTTCCTCTTTCAGCTCTTTTTTGAAGAAGGAGGAAATGGAAGTCTGCTTGCTGTTGCTGCCGTCCTGCTTGAAACCCTTGCGCTCCTTCAAGGCTTTTGGTACTTCCTTGAGACTCTGTGGTCTCTGCTCCTCCAGTTCCTTGAGTTTCCGCTCAAAGTAGGCCACACTACCACCGGTCCAGGCGCCTTTTGCACTCGTTTCCGGCTTGGGTATATAATCAGCCAGCAGAGGCATCAGCTGCATCTTTCCCGTGAGCTGTTTAATAATGGATATCTGCTTGGTTAAGGCATGTCGGTACATATTGGCCACTTTCTGCTGGCGGAACACCTCGTACTCCATGTCCACGGCAATGGCTTCGTAGTCATTGTATTTCAGGACACTTTTCGGCTGCTGTTCGGGCTCATCCTTGCACTTGTCCACATTGGCTTTCAGGGCATCGATAATGGCCGTTAGATACTTCTCCCTGTGTGTGGCCTGGAGGCCAGCTATTTTCTTTTCCGTGGCCTCCGCCTGACGGATGCGAGAGATTTGGGCGGCTGTATCCTGTTCCAGCTGACGGGCGGCGCTAATTTGCTTGCGCAACTTGAACTGTTGCTTAATGAAATCTTCCGTTTCCTTTTTGGCCTTCTTGGCCATGGAGGAGTGGGAGTCGGCGCCATCCGAGTCGGAATCAGCAGCTGCATAATCCTGGGCAGCACGCTTCTGACCAGGACGACCTCCTAAATAGAAATTAGAAATTAATAAAGAGAAGAAATAACCTTAAATCTCACCCACCTTCGTATAAATCCGCGCAATCCTGCAGCGAAATGTGCGACTTGAAGGTGTCGTCCATGCACAAACGATGAAACATCTCCAAAGCCTTCTCCGCTTTCTTGGGTCGCCGGCAGACATCACACTGACCGCTGCAGTCGGGCGCCGGATCCCCAAAGAAGTCGGAAAACAGCTTGTGTCGGCACGTGGTTCGCTCGCAGAATTCGGTGATCTTCTCAAATTGTTTGAGGGCTCTCGCCGTGAGCAGTTCCTTATCGCCGCGACCCCGCGCCCTGTTCGCATCGTTCTGCAGCAGAAATCGTATACTCCGCACGTCTTCACGGCCGTAATATAATCTACAGAACGAGGGCAAGCCGTCGCGACCAGCGCGACCCGATTCCTGGTAATAGGCTGCCACATTTTGTGGCACATCCCAATGGATGACAAATCGCACACTCGCCTTGTCCACACCCATGCCAAAGCTGTTGGTGGCGCATATAATGGGCTGATCGCCGCGCATCCATGCCTCCTGCACCTCTGTGCGTTCCCCCGTCTTAAGGCCAGCATGATAGGCCACGGCTCCAATGCCCTGCTTGGTAACGCCAATCGCCATGCGCTCCACTTGCTCCCGCGTGCGACAGTAGACTATGCCACAGCCCCGCTGGGCCTTTGGCTGCTCCTTGAACTCCTTGGGATCGCCCAGGCAATGCCTCGCAAAGTCCGCCAAGTGCTGGAAGTCATCCTCAATGGAATTCTTGTAGACAATGTCGTAGAAGAGGTTCTTCCGGAAGCTGGGCGTGCTGAATTGTGCCACCGGCTGATGCAAATGCAACTGCTTATAGATATCCTCCTTGACCTCCTGGGAGGCTGTGGCCGTTAATGCTAACCAGGTGATGTCTGGATATTTGGAACGTAGTTCGCCCAGCTTAAGATAGTCCGGTCGGAAGTCGTGACCCCATTGGCTGACGCAGTGGGCCTCGTCCACCGCAAAGTAGGCTAATTTCTTGTGCTTGTGTAATGTCTGTAGCAGCTCTTGAAAGAACTTGGTGGCCGCCTGTTCCGGTGTGATGTAGAGGAATCTCAGACTGGTCTTCACCGCCCGCAGATCCATAATCACGCGATCACGCTCCTTGGTGGTCATCTTGGAGTTCAGCGAGTCAGCCGGCACTTTCAGCTTGGTCAAATGGTCGATCTGATCCTTGATTAGAGCGAGAAGCGGCGAAAAGACAATGGTTATCTGGTTCTCGGACATCAGGCCAGGCAGCTGGAAGCACAGGGATTTACCCGAGCCCGTCGGCATCGATACATAGACATCCTGCTTTTCTGAAAGGCAAATTTTCCGGGGTTTATTATTATCTTCGAGATATTGGGTAAGACTTTTGTCCCATATTCACTTTTCACAGCACATCGCACGGCCCGCTCCTGTAGCTCGGACTTGAACTTCGAGTGGCCAAAATGCTTCTTCAGCGCCTCGGTCACCGCGCTCTCCTGCATCATTTTGTATGTTGTTTGTTGCCTAACTGCGTTGTATTTCAAATAAACAAAAACTCGGACCAAAAACTCGTTGCCGCCAAAACAGCTGGTCGAGGGTGGGACAGTGTGACCAGTGGCGGGCGTGGCAAAAATGCCGTAGCCGGCATTGATATCGATGTTTACCTAATTCGATATTTCGATGTTTTTCAGAAGAAACATCGATGTATCGATACATCGCCCGAGTTTTTCCCCAGCTCTAATTTAAGCGCCGCGCGCGACGAATAGAATTTAGTTTTTCGAAAAATTTCCACGCGTGAGCACCTCTGTGCTGCTTTCTCCGCCTCTCTGCGTTTCGCGCTTCGTTTTCAATTCGCCTTTCGTCGCGGGGTGCGTGCGTGTGAGTGAGTGTGCGAGTGTGCGTGTGCCGCTATTTGTTTATAAAATCGCCAGCCGAGAAAGCCATGTTGCACTTTAATTGTTTCCAAGCTCAAAATGCACACTGATAAACAACGACCACAGCAGCAGCTATAATGCCGGCAAACAGCCACAAAGCGGCTTATTAGTGTGTGGACGGACGACCGGTGCGTGTTTGTGGGGGTGACGAAAGTATTTACCGCAAATAGCAACAAACATAACCAAACAACAGCAATAAGCAGCCGGCGCAAATCGTATCTAGCTCTCTCTGTCGCTCGCCAAAAACAAGAGAGTTCGTGATTCTCAAAATGCAACAACAACAACAACGCCTGCCCTGCAGAAGAAAAGCGACGAAAACAACAAAAACAACCGCCTGCCTTGTGATATGTAGCAGTTATCTACTCCTCCTGCTCGCCACCCACTTTCCGCCCAGCGTGCAAGCGGACGATGGCTCCCAGTCCCTCCTGCCCGCAGTCGGCTATCTGGCCGCCCCCAATCCGGCGGGGGGCGGTGGGGGAGTCTCCTCCTCGATCATCGATCAATTCAGTCCGAATTGCAGTGCGGTTACGCACATTTTCCAGGCGCGAGGAATCGATGCGAGCGAAATACCACCAAAGCCCAGTAACGGTAAGTGTAGTAAATAATATTAGGGATTTTAGATACAATTTAATTTTAAGAGTGGGTTTGTTGTAAAAGTTATGGGAAGAAATTTTGGAGTCAAGTTAATTAATAAACAAGAATTTTATACTACATATTTTAATACTATTTTGAAGAGCAAGTTACCTTTGGTAAAATTTTAAATTGATTTGATTTATCAGACAGTCGGCTTTATATTGTTTACCTCAATAAAATATTAAAATAAAAGTCTATAACTTTATTGTTTTACCATAATTTTGCTCTTAAGCTAAAGGAAGTTTACGTTTTTATTAAGCTAGTTATCCGTTATTGCTGACTCTTGTAGTTGTCAATAAAATAGTACAAATTTTAATTTGAACAGATAAGAAATGAGGACTTTCCATTGATCAAAGTGCGAAAATATTTGAAGTGGTTGTCATTTATAGAGAAGGAAATAAAAATCAAATCATAAATAAACCGAAAGATAAGTTTAACATTTTAATTAAATCAGGGACAGTATAATGTTATGTTATACAGCAAAACGAATAGGAAATTTAACTTATTATACCTAGAAAATACGTTTTTTTTTCTATAGAACCCCTGCATAAAGGGGAAATTATAAAACATAAATGAAATATTTACAAACTTTAAAATAATTAGTCTGACATCGCGGAATTCCATAAATGTCTACATCCCTCATAACCAAATGCATTATATTCAGACATATTTGCATATTGATTAAAATCAAATAAAAAACGAACCTTTTTTTCAAATGTGAGAAGATAATACGAATTTGTGTTCATATAAATTCCTAATATTTCATAACATTGCTAAATCTGCAAAGATAACAAACCAGTCTGAATCACGGCGGAACAAAGGGAACTCGGGCTCAGATGGGACGATTCCATGATTCATGCCGCGCTCCTTCGTCTTGTGCTCTTTTTTTTCTGCCCTTTTACGCCTTACGCCCCTTGAAGGAAAAAAAATTCCACGCAAATCAACTCGAAGAAGCGAATGAGAAGCAGCCCAAGGTAGGCTCTAAATAAAAGAGAGTCCATGGCCGAGAGCGTGTCCATCCAAGAGATCTTGGCGCATGCGTCTGTTGCTCATCCGAATCCCAGGCTCTGCCCCTTCAGCGTCCAGCTCCGTGCCGCATCAAAGGGTTCCAGTTTCCAAGACCAGTCCAAAAGGCAGAAGCAGACGCAACGAAAAATCTCAAGACATTCCTTTTTGATGAACAAAAAAAAAAAAGGAATAAAACGAGAAAAGAGCAGCTATGCATACAGTTGAGCCTCGTTAAGGTAGACTTTATCAAACTAACTTTACCAAAGATTTTTTGATAATTTAATAATATAAGATTTGTTATCATATTTAAAGTATTATTGCACAGATTCTTTGAAAGATCTTTGATACTTTTAAAAGTACACAACTTCTTACAATAAAACGTATAGGTTTTCGAATATTTAGATAATATTTTCGAATATTCTTGATCTTTTTAGGGATAGATTTTCTTGTAATGTATGGGATTTAATAAGCCTAAGTTTTAAAGGAAGAATTTATTAGATGTTAGATTTTGTTTATTTATTATTATAATTTTTTAAATTGCTTTCCAAAAATTACAAAAATCCGAAAATAAAATCAGGTTTTTTTTCGAATACTTTCAAAGAAGAAATCCTTTTCTTTAGGGATGTTTGCCTGTAGGACACACTCACAAAAAGGCTCTTTTGGCTGGTGCAAGAGCAAAAATGTTGTCACACCGCTTTTACACACTGTTCTTTGTAGGGACAGGGGGTGTGCGATGGAGGAGGGACCTAGTCTCGGCCTCGATCGGTCCACGGTTTTAGTTAATTTGTATAAATCCTGAATTAATCACGCTTAATTGCAATAAGTTGCTCGCTCGCTCCCTCCCTGGGCCCTTCTGTCTCTCTGTTTATCGTGCTCCTCGTCGCCTCTCTTTGGCTCTTTGTTTGATTTGTTGCCAGGTAAACTGTTGTTGTTGTTGTTGTTGCAGCCTCTGCCTTTTGGCCGCTTCTCATCTACCTCTCCCTTTTCCCCTGGCCCTTTACCTGCGCCTTACCTTTGTTTATTTTTGGTTTTCAACGTTGCTTGATTGGTTTTCTTCTCTTTCGCTCTCACACATCTTTCCCATATTCTTTATCTTCATTTTTTTTTGGGCAAATGCATTGCGCACTGCGTTTCGTTCATAATTTCATGGAAATGCAGGGGGTAGGGGCAGAGGGGTCCGGTGACGGGGGAGGTGGGGCATACACACACACAGGTAGAGTGGTCAGTTCTTGAGTTCTCTTTTGTGTTGTCTTTGATATTAATCAAGGTGTCATTGAAATCGTTTAAATTATGCAGTTCAGGATTTTTATTCTCTGTCGGCATTTTTATGTGAACCTTTTACTTCCCGATCCGATCCTGTTCGCCCTCTCTCTTTCACACACAGTGGTGTGTCTGAGGTGCACTTGAAATAATAATTTTAATCCTTGTAATACGAAGTGAATATAATTATGATTAAGAAAGTTGGTGAGCATTAATAGAGTAATAAAATAGTTACAATATGGATATGTATATATAAAAACTATATTTCTATAGTTTATCAGTTATAAATGGAATTCTTAAATATCAAAATAGTCAATATTAGATTTTTGTTACAACATTTTAGATATTTTCTCCGAGTGCCCCAGACTCTTTCTTCTTTTTTCGCCGTGTGACTCATAAATTCTTATATTGCCTACTTTCTTCTCATTCGCTTCTTCTCATTCTCATTCGCTTCTTCTCATTCTCATTCTCATTCCCAAACCCAATTCCCCTTCCCTTTTTGATTCCAATTCCCTTTCTCCTTTTCATTCACCTGACCCCCCGCCAGCCTCGCCCCTGCCCCTTACACCTTGTCCGCCTGATAAGCGCCAGCATTTAGATAAAGTATCCGACCTGTGTTCCTGTTCCCACACCGTTCGAATTGCTTAACCGGGAACTACCTCTCGGCGATAGGTGTTTATAGGGTTCTCTGTCGGTGCTCCGTCGGTTATATATAGGTTAGCTAACCGGTGAGGCTGTGCTGACTGATAAAGACCAACTTCCAATTCTGATAAAGTTTAAAAAAAAATGAATTGACGTAAGCAAATAGAGAGCGAAAGAGTTTTGTGATGATAACCAGACTTTTTGGGGCCCCTTATATTGTCTAAGGGAAGTTATGAGACTTTAGTTAGGTTAAAATCTTTATGAAAAGTATTGTTTTCTTAAAAATTTTGAAACAAAAAATATAGAAAAATTTAATTCCAAACCATCACTACCTTTATACATTTTTTGTTCATCTACTCAAAGTGAAATTTTAATCAGTCACGATAAAGTGTTTTCCCAGCACATACATCATCACATCTTTAGGCGAATTCCTTTCATTGAACCATGAAAAACGCCAAACATTGAACCCAAAATCACAAAAAAAAGCAAAATACAAAAGATATCATATACCTTCCGTGCTGCAACAGCAACTACAACAACAGCTGGCACTTAAACGCTTCATTAAAGTTGCACTTCCTGTGCCACATCAAAAAGCTGTGAGCGAAACCCACTTTAACCCCCTCCGACTTGACCATTCACCATCATCATCATCAACATCGTTGGTAGGCAGGCACTTAGCTGAAATTGTTTGCACAATTTAAACAGTTCACAAAACATTAAATCGTTAAAAATAATATCAGAGAGTCAGCCAAGAGAGACTCAATGGAAAAGCCAGTTTTTGAATACAATGATCGCAGTGGTTATACTCTTACTAAAAGATCTTACTTGTTATAGGTTTTAATATAGAAAAATGTCTAAATTCTTTTATATTTGAATCAAAGGGTAAGCTTTTTATAAAATCCCTGTTTATGATCATCATCTGTTTATTTGATTAAAGCAGAGTATCCCCAGCAAGTGTATGTTTATCGTAAATTCGATGCAACCAACCAACCATTTCTCACACAGAAACGCTCAACATTGCTTCCTCTCATTCTCTATCTCCCTCGGTCAGGTTACCCATCTTTGTCTGTCTTTTGCCAAAAGAAATTTACAGCGGAGCTGATTTTTCATCGGCTGCTGTGGTTGCTGTTTCTCTGCACAGCAAAAAATTGGGGTAGTTAAGGTGCATTTTATATAAAATAAACTAGGAACAAGTCCACCAAAGATCTCTTTATATTTTAGATACACCACAAAATTAATAAATATTTTTTAAACTAAATAAATGTTTCCATTTTGTAACTATTCAACTTTGAGATACATTTTAAAAGATACTGAATCTTTAAGATACTTACATATATATATTGGTTTTATTTCTGTTCACTGCTGCTCCACTTTGTTGGCGTCTCCACTGGCGGCATTGCATTCGCCGTTCCTGCCTCTGATCTCCTCTTGCCTTGGCCTGCAAGGCAACCACCGCATGACTATTAATCATTTTCCAGCAACCAAAACTAAATGGTTCCATCTCTCTTACTCTCAGTTGGCCCTTTTTCTCGTTTTATTATTATTTTTTTGCATTGTCGCATTCCTTGGCCGTGTAAAAAGAAGAAACGAGGCGATCGGTTTATATGGCACTATATCATCATCATCTTCATCGGCGTCGTCGGCGTGTGATCATGTGATATATACTTTTGCAATTGTTGACCATTGTACGGAGGCTGGGTTTTGGGTTTCGATTGGAATGCAGATTAGATGGGGGATGTTGGGTATATAGAAAACGAGTAGGAGAAGTTCGCTGTTCTGAGTTATTTTATGAGGTTGTAAAGTGGAACCTCCTCTTTGGGATATTTAAGATAAAATATAGCATTCGTATATCATTTTAAAAGGGAGATAAATATGGTTTGAAAAGGACTTAAATACATTTTTTTTAGATGTATAAAAAAGCTCTGAAATAGATTAACAGATTAACAACCACTGATGATCCAATAAACTAAATCGTCTAGCACATGGCCTAACCTAAGGCCCCACTTGAAAGCCATGATCATGATCGATATCAAGCTATTTCACCA